CTGAAATAATTTACACTACAGGCAGACAATACACATATGTGTATATAGGAATTATTCACTGTAGCATTATTTATAGAAGCAATAAATTAATAACCACCAATAAGGAAATGGATAACAAAATTGCAGTTCATTCATACTGTGACTTTAAAAGTCACTTAAAAAGAATGAATAAGCTGGGCACCAGTGGCTCATGCCTGTAATCCTACCTACTCAGAAGGCTGAAATCTGAGGACTGTGGTTCAAAGCCATCCCAGGAGGAAAGTCCATGAGACACTTATCTCCAATAAACCACCAGAAAACCCAAAGTGGCACTGTGGCTCAAGTGGTAGAGCACTAGCCTTGAACTGAAGAGTTGAGGGACAGCGTCCAGACCTTTAGAATTCAAGCTCCATGACCAAAAAAAGAAAAAAACAACTGCCAAAAAGGCTTGTGTAAAGTTGACTGTGTGTGCATGCACATACATATGCATAACACAATTTGGTAGAGAGAGCAGTTTACAGATACATATGTGTGTGTATATGTGTATCTTAGTTCCTTTAGAAAGAGCAAAACTGTATATTTTCACAAATGAATCATACAGGAAAAAATGTGAAAGGAAAGACTACATGCTTTTTATAGGAATTACTCCAGAGAGTAGAAATAAGGATGAAAGAGGCTTGAGAAAGTACTTCTGTAACTTTTGTAATATTAAGCTAATTGGTGAAAACCATGTATTTCTTGGATAAGATATTTTTAAATTCCAAGATGAATTTAAGTGAACAAAATTAAAGAAGCAATTTAAACTGACCACAACCAAATAAACTCAGAATAAAACAAAAATGGGCAATTGCCATTCTCACCATCAATTCTGATCTTTCTATTGTCTTTTTCTAGCATGACACCACTATTCTCTCAGTTGCTTAAATAAAAAAACTTGGGAATGATTATGTTACTCTGCCTCCCTTCCTCCTACTTCATTCATCCAGCCAGTAAATATTTATCAAGTGCCTCCCACTTGCCAGGAGCTATTTTAATACAAAGCAAACTATTTAGTTTGCCTCGGAATGGGACAAACTCAAAAAACAAATCTCTGCCAAATCAACTGCTAGTCCTCTAGTTTCAGTTTTTTAAATACCTCTGAAATCTCCCCCACAACCTGATTTTCACTATAATATCCATAGTTCAAATGAACGGATACAATGTGGGAATAAAGTTTGGAATTCTTTCTCATATCCATCTAAATCACCTTCATAATAGGAGAGTTGATCATATCATTCTTCTCCTGAATATCCTTTAATGCTTCTGTCTTCCAAATAAACATAAACTCCATAACCTGATTTGCAAAGTCCTCTTGGATACCTATGTATGTATTATCCATATCCACTATTCTACCCTCCAACCCATATATTTCACATCAGGCCATACTGAACTGCACATAATTCATCTAATACTTGCATTTTCCTATACTCTATGCCTTTAAGGTGTCATATCTAAAAGAAAAAGGCAAGCAAGAGCTTAGGCCCTAAGTTTAAACCCCAGTATGGGTACAAAAATAAATAAGCAAAATTAAAAAAAAATGCAATTTCTGTGTGGAGTTCTTTTCACCAAACGGTATGCCTGACAAGCTCTTGTACATTCCTTAAGGTGAAGCTCTACAAATCTAGGTTTTCCTCTATGGTTCCAATGCATCTCTAGAGTACTTCCTGATACTGTACCTTTAACAATAGCTTTCTTCTGTAAGCTCCTAATGGATAGATACCATATCTTTTGGTGTCTCTAATCCTGAAGTCTAGTTTAAAAGCTGGTTTTTTATATGCATATCATCAATAAAGAAATAATGACATTATTATATATGACTTAAAGAAGGTCACCTTCTTTACATGTGTGTGATCTTCTTTAAGTCATATATAACCCAAGACCTAGTGACCTAGTAAAAAATTAGGGTAATAATCACAGACATGAATGAAGTTGCTACCATAGGATCTAAAAGTAACTATTTAGTAAATGCTGGCTTAAAATACTTGTTAGAATTAAATACCTAACCTGGGAACACAGCCTGTAGACTCATTCTTTGACACCTGAAATCTGAATTTCCAACAAGCTTGGAATATTGCTCATCTTTAAGTTATAAAATTTTATCCCCAATATCATGATTTTCTTAGTAATGCTGACTGTATAACAATATCACTGAATATGTTCACTCTCACCTCAAGGTTTTAATCCTCTTATCTCTTTTGCCTAAAATTTCATCTCCTATCTCTTTTTAGCTTAAATTTATATATACTAGAAAATCTGAAGGACACTTCTAGATTTATTTTGTCATTTAATATTTTCCCAATTTTGAGTTCAGGCTCTCTCGTGCTTGCTAGATAAGTGATCTAACACTAAGCCATGCCTCCAACCCTTTAATATGCTGGTTGTTTTTTGAGATAGGGTCTTGCTTCCTACCTGAGAAAATATTAGAGCCATGATCCATCTACTTAAGCATCGTATCATAGATATGATGATAGGTGTGTGTTACCATTCCCAGCTCTTGGTTGAAACAAGGCACCTGGGCTTGCCTCAAATCATGATCCTCCAATCTAACTTCTCAAGTAGCTAGGGTTTACATGCATGAGCCACCAACACTAGCTTATTTCACTGTAATATTATAAAGTGAAATTATACCATTCTATTATTTATAGCTATCATGCCACCTTCCAAGTCTACCACTATAAAGAACTATTAGTTTTTCTTGTATAGCCTTCCATTTTCTAGCCTCATTTCCACATTCTTTTTAAAAATTTTATTTTTAATTGTTTTATTGTTATTATAAAGGTGACATATTTATATATGTTATATTTATATAAGTTAGATAAAGTGTATGTTTCTTTTTGGACAATGACATCCCTTCCCTTGCTCTCTCCCAGTTTTTCCCTCCCATTCCATCCACCAATTGTATAGTTCATTTTCAACCTAGTGTCCAGTGAGTACCATTGCTTCATTTGTTCACCCTTTGTTTCTCCATTTCTGTGTTTCTTCTTACACTCCCAAGGACATATAAATGAACAAACAAAAAGGAAAGAAAAAAAACACAAAAAAGAAAAAACTTCTTTTTTTCATTTCCTGAAGTTCATTTCAATAAAAATTATTTTATATGATCAGATGCATATAGGCATTGTGCTTTTCTGTTCTTCTCTCATTTCCAGTCTTAAGAAATTCTCTGACAGCCAGGCACCGGTGGCTCATGCCTATAATCCTACCTACTCAGGAGGCTGAGATCTGAGGATCTTGGTTCAAAGCCAGCCTGGGCATGAAAGTCCTTGAGAATCTTATCTCCAATAAACCACTAGAAAACCTAAAGTGGCGCTGTGGCTCACGTAGTAGAGTGCTCGCCTTGAGCTGAAGAGAGCAGGGACAGCGTCCAAGCCCCACGACTGACAAAAAAAATAAATTCTCTGATGATGTTGATGATGTTAGTCACTGCTGACAATTTCAGCAGCTTCATTTCATTTTCAGACTCTAAATCATATACTTCAATAATGAGTTTGTCATTACTCTGAAATCTTTATTATGTTTTGATGCACATTAGTATTAATTCAAACTAAATTGTAAGATATAAGTTCCTTGACTTCTGGGTCCCCAAATAAATAGGAAAGCCCTTAGCCAAAAAACAATAAATATATTCAAAAATAATTTTTTTGGTTGGTTGTGGGGCTTGAACTCTGGGCCTGGGCGCTGTCCCTCAGCTCTTCAGCTAAGGCTAGTGCTCTACCACTTGAGCCACAGTGCCACTTCCAGTTTTCTGAGCGGTTTATTGGAGATAAGAGTCTCACGGACTTTAATGCCCAGGCTGGCTTTGAAATGCAATCCTCAGATCTCAGTCTCCTGAGTAGCTAGGATTACAAGCATAAGCCACCAGCGCCTGGCTTAATATGTTCAATTACTGATGTCCCAAAAGACATTTAAAAAGCTACACTTTGGGGGACGGTAGATATGGGGGATTAAACTCAGGGTCTTAAACTCTTACTGAGCTTTTTTCCTCACAGCTGGCACTTTACCACTTGAGCCTTGGCTTTAGTTTAGCTTTTTGTTGATGGAATCTTACAGACTTTTCTTCCCTGGCTGGCTTTGAACTGAGATCCTCCATGTCTCAGCCTTCTGAATATTTAGGTTTATAAGTGTGAGAGGAACCTGGGTTCTTTTTAAAAATTACATTGTGGAAGCTTTGGGGTATATAGTTCAGTTTAGTGTGCTTTCCTAGAATATGTGAGGCCCTGAGTTCAATCCCCAGTACTATCTATAGTCTGCTGTCATCAATCTTTTAAATTCTACATATGGCTATTAATTAAACAATATAACTTGCTTATAGCATTAAAATAATCTAATTAATATAGAACAGCTGTAAGTATAATGAAGCATAAGATTTTTTGACAGTTTTAGAAGTATGTCTAAAAATATAGCAGAGAAGGGTAGCAATACTTTTAAAAACTGGGATGTTTTATTATCTAAATGTAATATAGCTTAGAATTAAACTTTTTTTTTTTTGTAGGTCGAACTCTTGGCCTGGGCACTGTCCCTCAGCTCTTCAGTTCAAAGCAAGAGCTCTACCTCTTCAGCCACAGCACCACTTCTGGTTTTCTGGTTGTTAATTGGAGATAAGAGTCTCATGGAGGGACTGGGAAGGTGGCTCAGTGGTAGAACGCTTGCCTTGCAAGCATGAGGCCCTGGATTTGATTCCTCAGCACCACATAAGCAAAAAGAAAAAAAGCCGGGAAGTGGCGCTGTGGCTCAAGTGGTAGAGCGCTAGCCTTGAGCTGAAGAGCTGAGTGACAGCACCCAGGCCCAGAGTTCAGGCCCCACGACCGAACCCAAAAAAAACAAAACCAAAAACAAGAGTTTCATGGACTTTCCTGCCCAGGTTGACTTTGAACAGTGATTTTCAGATCTCAGCCTCCTGAGTAGCTAGGATTACAGGCATGAGCCACCTGAGAATTAAACTATTTTTAAAGAACAAAAGCCAAAGGTATTTAATAAGTTACCTGTAATTATTCCGATCATCAGCTTTTATTCCAGGCCAATCTCTCTTCAGGTACTGACTAGCCAACTTCTGGATGCCCTGTTAAAAAAGTACATTGTTTTAAAATTAGTATTGTACCATGAAAAAGTTATTTTCTTTAATATACAATACTTAGAAAATAGAGATTTTCTAAATGTAAATTTATTCTGAAAACCAATGATAAATGACAGAACACTACAATCTCATCATTCTCCAGTCCTTCCTGCCTCTATTTTTAGGAAAAACATGAGCATATTTATGAGATAACAGAAACTTCCATTATATACATTTCACTTCACCAAACTATTTGACTAGCTATACAAACAATCTCCAAGATGTCACAGGGGACATAGCTGTCCATCTCCACAAAGCTCTGATTACACAGCTTCACATTTTATTCTCTCGCTACTCCTCCACTGTGTCAAGAATGATACATTTCTAACAAATTCTGACATAACAGAAGTGGGAAAAATGCATCCAATTTGGAGCAGACAAATATTTGCTTGTAAAATTAATAAACAGTCTTTGAGGCAATTTCATACCGGGAACTCTCAAGACTGATTTTAAGGATCTTTCCATTTTAAAAAATATCATGATACAGCTCACTTCAGAGAAAAATAATTTTACTGAAAAATTTACCCCCTGTTATTCCTATAACATGAATCTAAACAAAATAGAGTATTTGTCTATAATGTATGGGAGGTTTTGGAATTTGAACACAAAAGATCATTTTGTTGGGAAGTGAGGTTAAACTATTCATCGCAAATATATATAATTTTTAAATCAAATATGATCCTCTAACATTCCAGTAGGGCCCCTGTAATAGATATACACATAATTGATTCTTGTGGTATTTATTTCTATATTTGCAGCTATGAAAGTGTATCAAGGTGAAATGAAGAATAATCACAGTAGTTGTACACTTTAAGCAAAGACTGCACAAGTAAAATAAATGCTTCACTTTACACATGGAACCTGCTGCCAAATCAATTTGGCCTAAACTTATAGCTGAATGCCTTTGATAAAATATAATTACTTCAGTCCAAAAAGAACTGAAGAACCACTGAATCTCAAGTTCCTTCTGAACTTTACAATGTAATTCAACTTCACTATTTCCAAGTACTATGTATTCTGAGAATTCACAACTACAATCCATACTTTCACTTAACAAATCTTGTACTTTGGGAAGCCCAGTTATTAAGTCTTCTCTAAATTATACATTATCTTGTCACTTCTGTACCTTGTACATACTGTTCTCATCACACGAAGTATATTTCCACAAATTACACTGATGCTTGGTAAATTCTTATCTCCTTCCCTTTTATCCTAATTTTTAAAAATTCTTAACACAAAATACTCCTAGGTATATACAGTAAAATGTGAAAAGTTTCATTGCATAGGTATTTAATTTTACTTCATTCTACTACAATAATTTAATATTTTTCCTGCATTTATTGGCTGTAATTCTATAAAGAAGGATTCCTCCTAAACCATGTGGTTTTCCTGAGGTAAAGCTCTTAGTTGAAAGACAGGATAAATATCTGTCCAGTTCTGGACTAACAATGAATAATGTGGGGGAGGAGGCTTGAACTCAGGGCCTGACTTTTTCTGCTCAAACCTAACACTCTACTACTTGAGCCACAGCTAAAGCTTTTTTGGTGGTTAACTGGATATTAGAATTTCACAGCCGGGCGTCAGTGGCTCAGGCTTGTAATCCTAGCTACTCAGGAGGCTGAGATCTGAGGATCGTGGTTCAAAGCCAGCCCGGGAAAGAAACTCAGTGAGACTCTTATCTCCAATAAACCATTCAGAAAACCAGAAGGGGAACTGACTCAAGTGGTAGAGTGCTTGCCTTGAGCTGAAGAGCTGAGGGATAGTGCCCAGGTCCAGAGTTCAAGCCCCATGACTGACAAAAAAAAAAATAATAATTTCACAGACTTTCCTGCTGGCTTTGAACCAAGATCCTCAGATCTCAGCCTCCTGAATAGCTAGAATTACAGATGTGAACCACTGGTGCCTGGTAATACATTTTAAAGTAACATTACAAACTCATATACCTAAATAATGAATGTGTTCCAATTTAACTGTAGTTACTATTCTTTTTATTGTAAAGATGATGTACAGAGGGGTTAGTTACCTAAGCAAGGTAATGAGTATATTTCTTTTTTGAACAGTGTTACCCCTTCCCTTGTTTTCTCCCGCTTCCCACTCTGCTCCCCCCCTCATAGTTACTATTCTTTTAAGCACAACTGTCATATCTTTGGTCTGTTCAAGTCCCCCCAAGTTGGCTCCTACATCATGACATTAATAGACTCTGATTGCTTGTTTTCTTTTACAGCTCCTGTCCCAGACCATCAATAAACTAGGTTTTTGTGCAATCATGATTACTTTAAGAGTAAAACAATATTCAGGGTACACATCTAGGCATGTCCTTAATCTTGGAGTATCTGTGTCTTTCTTACAAAGCCTTTTATAATATATATAGATATATTATATATTATTATACTCACTTCTACCCATTTACTTCAGAGTGGATTTTATCTAATTCTTAAAAATATGAAACTACATTAACTTGCTATTTTGTAGAACTCTAAGGTACAAAGCTGAACTGTATTAAACTGAATGAGCCCTTCAGAGATGAAATGAGGGATTCATGAAATAGACAAACAGTGAGATCTCTAGATGAAAGACTTATTCAAGTTAGTTCACAGAGGCTGGAATCATGACTTCTGTGTGCTCTGTGCAGCTGTTCAAGATTTAATTTGTGTGGCTGCTCAAAAATACTCTGTGGCCATTATCAAAAGGGTCCTAACTAACATTTCCTGCCTCTGAAGGCATTCTATCCTTAAATAGATTAGTTTGCCTTTAATATTATGCTTTAGCTACATTTGATAGATGGATGGCTTACTTATATAGAAAGTTATCCATCCTAATTAAGTGTGAAAGAGAATAAACCATGTCTTGTAATTTTAAGTGTTTTTTTTTTAAATTATATAATCACTCCCCTGGCCCATGACATTACTTTCTAAAACTACTTCACTAGGAGTACATATATTTATATTGACAAGCATCTCTGATGAATAAAGTTGATTTCACTTGCAATATGGTTCACTCTGGAGCAGTAACTTCTAATAATTTGCAGTATTGCCAATGAAACATCCAATAACATCTTATTCCAACTTTTAAAAACACTGTCAGTTTCTAATGTAAGACTAGCTTTGTTTCACCTTTCAATAACTCTAACAAGTAAAAGACACACAAAGAAGGCCACTGTTGAGTAGATACTGGGAAATGGACTGCTAGTTTAGCCTTTGGCCCATTCACCACCACAAACTGAGCATGAATATGCTCCTTAGCTTTCCCACAGGTTATCCTAAATCTATCTTTTCCCCACCATACAGTAAAAATACTGTTTAAATTTTACTAAGATTCTGCCATCAGATAGCTCTTTAAAACATTCTTGACGTACCATGAAATTCCTAATGTACAAAATTGATCTTTATTTCTCCAATTGATGTACTATAATCATCCATCAATTCAATAGCAACAAAATTACTCTCATCTTCCTTAAGGAACGTTTTAAAATATTTTTATTGCTTTGTGCCATATACAATTGCATAAGTGAAGTAAGCCAAGCCCAAAGAAACATAGGTCCCATGATTTCCCTTGTTTGCAATATCTAGTATATGTATAAGTCAAGCAGAAAAGGCTAGATAAGGTGATGTTAGGAAAATGAACCCTAAGATATGTATTTTAAATGTTTTTTTCTTTCATGCATTTGTTTCTAACGCAATTATAAGATTATTTGTTTGTTGCTTTGTATGTCCCTCCCCCACAGTATAACCCCTGCTTTCACTGTATTTGATGTCCATATAATTTGTGGAGGGGAAGGGGAAAAACAAGTCATTTAAATAAGGATACAGGTGGACTTGTTGCAATAATGAGAAGTACAAGTTGTCATGTCAAAAACGAACTTTACAACTTGGGAGGGGGGAAGGATTGGGGGGGGAGGGAGGATGGGAAGGGATGGGAAGGGTAAACAAAGGAGGAGGGTACAATGCTTGATAAAAAATGTACTCACTATTTTGCCCATGTAATTGTAACCCCTCTGTACAGTATTTTCACAATTAAAAAAAAAAGTGACATCGCATAAAAAAAAAAACAATTGCACTGGGAAAAATGAATCCATGTATTATTTTAAATAACATAATAAAAAGCTTTTACTGACTTTTCTATTAATTTCATGGTGAAATGAAATAGGAATTTCATGTTATATGTTATTTGTATTAAACACCATTGGCAGCCATTTTTCTTTTACAGGAAAGAAAGATCAGTTTTAGTTAAATTGAGTATTAAAAATATTACTGCTGGGGCTGGGAAGGTGGCTCAGTGGTAGAGTGCTTGCCTTGCATGCCTGAGGCCCTGGGTTTGATTCCTCAGCAACACATAAGCAAAAAGAAAAAAGCCGGAAGTGGCGCTGTGGCTCAAGTGGTAGAGCGTTAGCCTTGAGCTGAAGAGCTGAGGGACAGCGCCCAGGCCCAGAGTTCAGGCCCCACAACCCGACCCCAAAAAAAAAAAATATTACTGCTGATTTGTGTATATGTTGTACTAGAGATTGAACACAAGGTCTTCTGCATACTATGAAAGCATTCTACAACTGAGTATTACTTCTCCCAAACCATCCCCTTTTTATACAAGATACAGTATCTTTCAATGTTGACAAGACAGGCCTTGAACTTGCAACTCTCCAGGCTCAACATCCTGAACTTGAGTTCAGAGGCTTTTGCCACCAGACCCTGTGCTCTACTGAAATTTTAAATAGTTTATCCTATTCAATTTAAAGACCAAACACAGTATTAAAATTAATTAAAATGTAACAATCATTTATGATTAAAAAAGAAAACAAAAAATAATAAGTAAAAGGAAACTTTAAGAAATGAAGGGCATAAAGTGGGTACCAGTGACTCACGTCTGTAATCCTAGTTTTTTGGATAGCAGAGATCAGGAAATACTTCAGTCCAGGCCAGTCCAGACAAAAAAGTTCTCAAGACTCTATCTCA